GATGGTATCCATAGCTTTTATTCTCCTGTGGAAACAAAAGCAAACTTTTGTTTACTTCTCCAGTATAACACATGTCCTGGATTCCATTCTGAGGTCAGTACATCTTAAAAGTATATCTGCTGATTTAATTTCATAGCTTTTCCTGTTATTCAATGTCTCTTCAACACTTTTGTTCCTTTCTCATTAGCATTTGGAAAATTCAAAGTTAACAAAGCATTATGTTATCTATTTCTGGTGGTCTTTATCATTCCCTTCTGTTGATCTTCCCAATCCAAGATCAGGGGAGATCCTTTCATTTTCTGGTGTCCTCTTCAATTACTACTCAGCAGTAAGAAAACAAGGACTTTTTGTATTTTGCATACAAATGGATGGAAATAGAAAACACTATACTGAGTGAGGTAAGCCAGACCCAAAAAGAGGAAAATGGGATGTACTCACTCATATTTGGTTTCTAGCCATAAACAAAGGACACTAGTGATCCTAGAGAAGCTAAATAAGGAGAACCCAAAGAAAAACATATAGGCACCTCCTGAATATTAACCTTCATCAGGCGATGAAAGGAGACAGAGACAGAGACCCACATAGGAGCACCGACAGAAATCTCAGGTCCAAATCAGGAGCAGAAGGAGAGAGAGAGCACAAGCAAGGAACTCAGGACCGCGAGGGGTGCACCCACACACTGAGACAATGGGGATGTTCTATCGGGAACTCACCAAGGCCAGCTGGCCTGGGTCTGAAAAAGCATGGGATAAAACTGGACTCGCTGAACATAGTGGACAATGAAGACTACTGAGAACTCAAGAACAATGGCAATGGGTTTTTGATCCTATTGCACATATTGGCTTTGTTGGAGCCTAGGCAGTTTGGATGCTCACCTTACTAGACCTGGTTGGAGGTGGGTGGGCCTTGGATTTCCCCCAGGGCTGGGAAACTTGATTGCTCTTTGGGCTGATGAGGGAGGGGGACTTGATTGGGGGAGGGGGAGGGAAATGGTAGGTGGTGGCAGGGAAGAGTCAGAAACCTTTAATAAAAAAAAAAAAAAAAGAATTAGAATTACAGCCCAAATTGCTATCTGAACAAGAATCAAGTATTCTATCACTTGCAGAAATCATTTAATGAGTGTCCACTCCTACAGAGATGTATTATATTTGCTCATTGTGTTTTTGTTCAGGTCATAGTTAGGCAACTGTATTAATGAGACTTTATGGCTGTCATGTCTAGGATACAGTTTCACAGCAGAATTCCTAGCACTCTGGATAATATAGTACTGAGATTTTGCTTGGAATATTCGTTACAAGTTGTTATAGATAATGGTCAGGAAAAAAGCTAAATAAAGGAAATTAGATTCAAGGTTCTTGTTTCAAAAAAAAAAAAAAAAAAAGGCCAGATGGTGGTGATGGGGTGGCACAGGCCTTTAATCCCGGCACTCAGAAGGGAGAAGCAGGCATCTGCTGTGGGATTTCAAGGTCAAACTGGTCTACAGGGCAAGTTCCATGACATACTCCATAGCTAAGAAACCCTGACTCAAAAAATCAAAAGAAAGGAAGTAAGAAAGGAAGAGAAAAAGAAAAAAGAGAAAAAGAAAAAGGGGATATAAATATGATAAGATAAAAAGGTAGATTTATTGAATCTATTTTTTTAAAAGCAACTATTAGTTTTAAATGTTTCACATTGGTTTTACTTTTGTATATTGTATACAATTTTTATATATTGATACAAATTTGAGGATAATTTTGTTAAAGCATATCATCCATACATTTTTAATATTATTCAAAGTATTGTACATATACAGCTCATTTAACAATGTAAAGAAAATTTCTAGTACTTGAAAATCATTATTATCAACTGTTTAGGATAATAAAGAAGAAATATAGGTTAGTAGTTAATTACCTAGTATAATCAAGTTTGTAGTAACATTAGGTATGTTTTCAAGGTCAAACAAAGATATAATTTAGATATATATGTTATCTTCAAACACTTCAGAGATTTGCAGAGTATGGCATTTAAGATGTTTCAATACTTTCTTTTAGGCAAAAGTAAGTCACTGGGCAAGAAAATTTCTCTGCTTCAACTGCTGACAATATGCTCTCCTAACACAAAATATCCTGTTTTACAGAAAAGTCTGTCCACTATGCTAGGTCTCTAGGCCAAAGATAGATGCTTGAATGCTGCAAAGGAACTTTGGATGACTGTCCAGGCAGTCAGATGTTTCTGTTATTACTCACAGCTTTTGGAAGTCATTTGCATGAACTTTCTGTTTACTCAGTTAATATTATTTCCTTCTTGGGCCTCTGAAGGAGTTGAAGATTAGATAGTTATAGTTACAGTTGCCATACACAGAAAGCAAGTTAAATTATATATTAGACTTTGGACTCACCAAGATAGGATAGATATGATTTTTTTTTTTTTTTTGATTTTTGTCAAATACAAATGGACTAGACAGGCGTGGTGCGCCGGGCCAATGCTGGCCAAGGTATGGTACACCTCCACGGCGGTCCAGGGGCTGCTGGCCCCACCGCTGCCCTCTCGGAGGCAGGCCAGGCAGAAGGCTGGCCGGGCAGACGGCGGCGGCCATGTTTGTGACGCGCAGCATCGCGGAGGACCACAAGGACCTCATCCACGATGTGTCTTTCGACTTCCATGGGCGCCGGATGGCCACCTGCTCCAGCGACCAGAGCATCAAGGTCTGGGATAAAAGTGAAAGCAGATATTGGCATTGCACTGCTAGTTGGAAGACACATAGTGGATCTGTGTGGCGTGTGACATGGGCTCATCCTGAATTTGGACAAGTTTTGGCTTCCTGTTCTTTTGACCGAACAACAGTTGTTTGGGAAGAAATAGTAGGAGAATCAAATGATAAACTTCGAGGACAGAGTCACTGGGTCAAGAGGACAACTCTAGTGGATAGTAGAACATCTGTTACTGATGTGAAATTTGCTCCCAAACATATGGGTCTGATGTTAGCGACCTGTTCAGCAGATGGTATAGTAAGAATATATGAGGTTCCAGATGTTATGAATCTCAGCCAGTGGTCCCTACAGCATGAGATCTCATGTAAGCTGAGCTGTAGTTGCATTTCTTGGAATACTTCGAGCTCTCGTGCTCACTCTCCCATGATCGCCGTGAAAAACGATGACAGCAGTCCAAATGCCATGGCCAAGGTTCAGATTTTTGAATACAATGAAAACACCAGGAAATATGCAAAAGCAGAAACTCTTATGACCGTCACAGACCCTGTTCATGATATTGCCTTTTCTCCGAATTTGGGAAGATCTTTCCATATCCTGGCAATAGCAACCAAAGATGTAAGAATTTTCACATTAAAACCTGTGAGGAAAGAACTTACTTCTTCTGGTGGTCCCACAATGTTGAAATAGGAGCGGCGACGGGGCTGCGTCCCCAACACCCCGGCCGCTTGGCTAGCTCATGCCCGAAATAACAACACACAAACTGTATTCATTTAAAGAACTGCTTGGCCCATGAACTCTAGCCCTTACAGACTAATTCTCGCACCTGGTCTAGCCCATTTCTAATGATGTGTGTAAGCACCCCAAGGTGCGCTTACCGGAAAGATTCTAGCCTAAGTCCATCGTGGGTTGCAGCTGCCTGGGAGAGCTGAGCATGGCGTCTCTGCTCCAGCAGAGCTGTCCGGTCTCTCCGGAAGCAGAGCAGAGTCTGACCTCACTTCCTCTTCCGCCCAGCATCCTATCCTGTTTATTCCGCCCACCTATCTTATAACCTATCAGGGCCAGCAGTTTCTTTATTGCTCAGCCAATTAAATCAACAGATTGATATGACACTCCCACATCACCACAAAATTTGAAATCCATATTGTGGCTCAGTTTGATAATCATAATTCTCAGGTCTGGAGGGTGAGCTGGAACATTACAGGAACAGTACTAGCGTCCTCAGGAGATGACGGCTCTGTGAGGTTGTGGAAAGCTAATTACATGGACAATTGGAAGTGTACTGGTATTTTGAAAGGTAACAGGAGCCCAGTAAATGGGAGTTCTCAACCGGGAAACTCAAATCCTTCACTAAGCTCAAATATTCCAAATCTTCAGAACTCACTAAATGGATCTTCTGCTGGCAGAAAGCACAGCTGAGTACAAGCTAGCTGGAGTAACTTTGCTGTTTGGCTGCTTGTTGCATGCACACAGGAATGGAAATCGAACTCGTTTTCCCCTTCCCCAGTGCCGTTTGATCTCTCCCAAGATGCACCAGCAGCCTGATCACTACTAAACACAGTCCGAAAGGCCTTTAAAATTGCAATGGATATAATTTTTTGTACAAGTCAGTTTACCGACACTATAAATGGAAAGGCTTTTTGTTGAGACATCATCACCAAAACAATTTTTTGAAATGTTCTTTAGACTAACTTGGGCTTAAAAAAAAAAAACGGAAAAGATTGGTACTATCCTCATAAACTATTGGGAAGAGGGAAAATACAATATTATTCCATTTGGAAAATATAGGGATATGTATTTTATTTTCTAAAACAATAAGCTAAAATGATGAGTTTTTATAATTTTAATTTGAAAAATTGAATAAATATTTTTCATAAAAAAAACCCAAGTGAACTAGACATTGCTGATATGTTTATTGACTGTATGTATTTTATATAGTCATTGCAATTGTTGTATATAGTTTTCTTATATTAGTTATAGCCTTTTTTTTTAGACAAAAAGGGGAAACATAGTAACATTTCAATTGTATTTTAATAAATAAATACTGCTTGAAGATCTGAGACTAAAACAGTCCCAATGGTTAACCATACAGACCAGGTTATGGTAACACACACCTTTAATCCCAGTAACTACACCCCAGTAGTCACACTAGTTGCCATAGAAATTGGGTGGTGCATGCCTTTAATCAGGTGGTGCACATATTGAATCCCAACCCTAGAGAGGATTATAAAATGGGAGGAAACAGCTCTCAAAACACATTCTCATTCTGAGATTCTTGGAGGCTGGATCACATTTCAGGCTGAGGTCGAGGTAAGAGTGAGTGGCTGGCTGTTTTGCTTTTCAGATCTTCAGGTTGAACCCCAATTTCTCTCTCAGTTTTTATTAATCATGCTTCACTTAGGTGCAGGAGATGTGATGTAGATGTGCCTATTTTGGCCCTGTTTTATAAATCTGTTGATTTCTGCATTGTTTTCTTTTATGGTTTTCAATAATGTCTAAAAAATATTCCATCAATTTGATAATAAATAAGGATTAGGGGATATTGGAAGTGTTAGAAGGAGGATACATGGGAAGGGATCAAGGAAGGGAAATGGGACACTGATGGATTATATTTTAATTATAAACTTTTAATAAAATGTCCAAATTGTAATTGCAAAAAAATTAGAATAAAGAATAAATTTGAATAAAATTTTTGAAAGGGGTCATATTGTAGATTTTGTTTTCAAAATGCCACGAATAAACTCAAGTGTGTATATTTAAACTATTTCCTCAGAAAAAATGTAACTCTATGTCCATGAAAAGAAATAACGGGTGGGCTAAGAGATGGGTTAGTAGTTAAGAACATTGACAGTTCTTCTAGAGGTCTTGAGTTTAATTCCCAGCAACCACATTGTGGCTCACAGTCATCTATAATTGGATATGATATAATCTTCTGGTATATGTAAATAGAGCACCATATATGTAAGAGAAATAATTTTTAAAAAAGAAAATAAACAATATGATATATATATTTTTTGATTGTTTCACATATTATGCATTGTGGCATATTAAGCATGCTTAGCATGTGAATTGCTAGTACTTATTTTTAAAGATCTCTTGGAATTACTTTTCTTCACCTCTATTTTTGAGGATAGTTCATGATTTTTCAAGATTCATAAAATGTATTAAAAATAGCATGCACTGAAAGACTTAGAACACCATGAAATAATCCATCTTTATTTTGCTTTTCATAATTTCTCTATATAAAGACAAAAATACAGGAGTACTGCTTTAGAATATAGACATGACTTTATCTCTCCATAGTCTAGACATGTAGTTTTCAGCGTAGAAGCATATACTGAGCCATTTAGCTTTTCATCATTCTCTTCCTTCTGCAGTTCCTAACAAATAGAGGACCTGATGGTCTGTCTAACACTTTCACACCCTATTATTGCTGAGACAATCCTAAAGACAGCTAGAATGCAATAGGAACAACAAAAACCCTACAATGTTGAGTCTAGGTCTAAACTTGAATTTCAATTAGGTGTCTGCATACACAGCCACTATTTATTGTCTATGCATATTCTATAATGGTTTATATTTTCCTTCAAATTTTTCTTCTTCATTTTTTCCTGTTCTCAGTGGTATCATGACTACCCACAATAAATTTATTTGATGTGAGTTATCTCTTACCTAGTTTTGTCTGTCAGTTTTCTAGATGGATTACCAATGACATGGTCGGTAACTAGGGTCTTTCTTGAAAATATCCAAGTCCACAATAATATTTCTTGGGAAAGAATGGGAAACAAAATGCCTGCTCAAACAAAAACAAAAACATAAACAAAAACCCCTCATATTCAGCTCAGCCTTTGCATCTGATACAATGGCCTTGCTTATTTGATTCAAGTTCTGTTCTTTGGTTAATTTTTCAATACCTTTAAACTTCCTCCCTTCTTTTCTTCTCCTCACTAGCAAGATATATCACTGGAGCTTATCCCCTACTACATAAAGCTGACCAAGGGATAACACCATGACAGCACTTTCTTAGTTCCATTTTATGTCGTGTTCAACCTTTTCAGCTGAACTAAGGTTCAAAAAAGAAAGTATGTCATGAATCCCTATTTGTATTCACAACCAAAGAGCTGAATTTAGTTTGAATGGTATTAATTTTGGTCACAACAAATTTTTTTCAGAATGTAGCATTCATATCTTATTGTTCAAATCTCTGAACAGGTCTGCCTCCCTTTCCTCCTGAGTGTTGCATATAATGCACTTTTATTCTGAGATACAATGCTTTGAAATAAACACTATATTTAAAATGGCTGCTTTGTAATTAGGTAGTCACATACATGTACTTGAAAACAAGATCATAATACTCCACTCAGAAACATATAATTTAAGCAAGTAAGAGGTTATGTATTCTAAGCAACCCTTTGTTTTGTGAACGACTATTTTTAGTATGCAAATATACAGATGTGCACACTTGTTGCTCTTGAATGAAAAAGTTGTGTCAGAGCTAACAAAAGCAATGAAACTTGCTTAGTTATAATTTAAAGAAAAATTTCAACACATCTTTTGTATGTTGTATTTATGTATAGCTTCCATTTTGCTAAAGAGTTACATTTATCATCAACACGAATGTTATGATACATTAAAAGATATAAGGTACTTCATATAATATGACAGCAAATGTCTAAGTATTTTTTTTCATGTTAAAAATGAAATACCTATAACTGTAAAGGGTAATTATGCTACAATTCACAGACCCAGAGAGACTAAGCAACAAGTAGGGTCCATGCGGGGCGGACAACTAGATCTCCCTGAGAAGTGGAACTTGAAGAGATTTCTCGAGTGGACTGAGGGCAGGTGGAGATGAAACATGTCCGAGCGGGTTTGTGGGGATACTGAAAGTGACTACCAGAAAGGGGATTGCGTGATCAAGCAAAAAGATGGCACAAAAGAATTTCCCAGGAATCTACAATGATAACCTCAGCTAAGACTCTAAGCAACAGCAGACACATAGCATGGACTGGCCATCCCCTTTGAACAGATTGTTGCCTAGCCCAATTGTCATCAGAGAGGCTTCATCTACCAGTTGATGAACACAGATGCAGACTCACAGCCAAACATTAGGAAGAATTCAGGGAATTCTGTAGAACATGTGCAGAAAGGATTTTGGGAGCCAGAGGAATCAAGAAAACTCAGAATCAGTTAACCCGGGCACATAAGAGCTCGCAAAGACTGAATCAACAACTAGAGAACCTAAACAGAACTTGCCTAGGCATTCTGCATATATGTGACAGTTGTGTATCCTTTTGTGGGACACCTAACAGGAGGTGCAGGGGCTGTCATTCTGACTCTTTTACTGTATTTTGGGACTCTTTTCCTCATATTGGGTTTATTTTCCAGCCTTAATACACATGTAGATTTTTAGTCTTACTGCAAATTGATATGCCATATTTTCTTGATTTCTATGGGATGTCTGCCAATTGAAATGGAGGAGGAGAAGATGGGGGGAAGCCCCAAGAGAAGATGGGAGGGACTTGGAGGAGAAGAGGGAGGGGAAAATGTAGCTGGGATGTAAAATACATACATACATACATACATACATACATACATACATACATACATATGTTCATTAAAATCTGGAATGTCCATTGATTAGGCCACAGAACTCAGGTAATTCAAAATAAAAGTTTTACTACTAATTATAAACCCTAAAAATCTGGTGTTTTATCTGAACTAGAAATGATATAAAAACCCAATGATAATTTCTGTGTTATATCAGTACTAATTTTGTGCTAGTATATCAAGTGGATTGCACAAAGTAAAAATATTCCTTCATTAACATATCAATAATTTTACAAAGGAAATGTATGTGACAGAAAATATAACAAATGAGAAATCTTTAGTAGCATAAAACAAATCATACCTTTAATGAAGGTTTTACATAAAATTTTGAAGTTTGATGGCATAAGTTATATATATATATATATCCACAATACATATATTTGAATAGATATTTATGTGTTTATTATATACATCAAACCAATAAATGTTTACACATATATTTTGAGAGACATATTTTGATAATTGGTAAGTCCTATATAAGGATTTTAAGTATTTTACTTCATAAAATTCTATATACCCAAGTATCATTCTTTTATTATTAATAAAGAAAATTTCCAAAATAAAGAAAATTTCCAAAATAAAGAAAATTTCAACAAAGGTTTTATTAAACATTTCATATTTTCTCTTCAAATAATGGATACTTCATAAATACTTTTCTCATTGTAATAAATTTGTGACTCTCAGTAGATAATATCAGTCATGTTGGATTATTTTCATATTTCTGCTGTTTAGTATGATATCTATTAAGAGTTAGGTGAGAAGACGAATTGGGAGAGAATTAGTAATTAGATAAGAAATGATATAGGATAATGTGGCCTGATTCTAAGAAATAAAATTGAATGAAGGGGTTGGAAAGATGATTCCCTGGCTTAGAGAACCTAGTATACTTCCACAGGACCTGAGTTCTGTTCCAAGTACCCACATTTCATACCTCACAATAGCCTGTAACTCCAATTATAGGTGATCTAACTTATTGTAGCTATACTAGCTATGAACAAATGCAAATTCACATAAACTCATGTCATACACACACATATACATAGATCAGTAAAACTCAATAAATCCTTGTTAAAAGGTGAATGGAAAAGTATG